TCTTACATTTAAAGTGCCCGCGCGCATAAAAATACCGGGTGACGGTCTCAATACTGCGAGATTCTTGGCACCCTCTGCCCGCTCGTCAGTTCCTTCACCACCGTCACTGTGAAGGCGACAGGGAGCTGCGCAGGACTGAGGACCGTTTCTTTTCAACTTTCTTTCCATAGTTGCTTTGACCAATGCAGCATCGCCAAGTGGTCAGCCTTGATATATAGCGGGAAAAAAGGGCCGTAACGAAAGCAAAGGAGCAGAAGATGGCTGTGAAAAGCAGTTGTGGGCTTGCTGCATTTTGCTACGCCAGTAGAAAATAAACTCCTTCATCCCTAGTTTCGTTACTTCCCCTGTGATATCTAAATTAATCTAAACTGTTAATAAGTAATGATTCGCACTCTTTGCATCTAATAGATGACCAGTTTGTTTTAGTTCGCTTGTCGGTAAATTGATGCTGTGAGTTGATCACTAATAACATGCTATTTTACAAGATTTATGAGGATTAGAAGTGAAAGGTAATTTGGGTGACTGAGGAAGCATTTTTTCAGTAGTCAGAGTTTGTTTGCGAAGTTTATGGAAGTGAATACGCAATTTACGTTTGTTCTCAGTGTTTTTCCAAATCTGTTGGTAATCTATATGGCAACAACGACCAGAATACGCGAAATCAAACAGTTTCGAATTATAATTGCAATACAATCCGTTATCGAGATATTGTCATCGTTAATTTTGTCTACCTTCAGCATCGTAAGCTTTCTGAAACCGATGTTCAGTGGCGTTTCATCAGTTATCTGAAAGAAGAAATTGTCGGCAGAATACCATCCGATTGACTGTCGCAATTTCGTCTTGAAAAACTAAAACCAGTACTTTTTAAAAGACGAGTCTTTTACAAATCATGTGTTTTTATGCATTTTTGCAATTTGCATATAGGCAAAAACGTATATTGCGGCGACCCTATCTGTGTGTGTATGTGTGTGTTCGTCTCTCCGGGTATTTCAACTCTGCAACCAAGCAAGTTCTAACGCCAAAATTTTACTAGTAGGTTCCCCGGCCAAGTGCCACCCCAAAACCGTGATACCAACCCTCACGCAAGTCTGGGTC